AAGAAGAAGAAACTCTCTTAGCTGTCATAAAAGAACACACCATCATTGACTCAAGGAAGTCCTAAGAAGGTCATGGTCCCTCTTTGGTCCCATGAACAGGCCATTCATCTATACAAGGCACATGGAGAAAGTGTCCTCGGACACAATCTCCTTGATCAGTTTTGATACCCTTTTAATAAATTCATAAATTTCAATCTGTATTAACTTTTAACATATAAAAATATATTTGACCAAATTATGAGAAGCAGAAAGTCTTTGTACTTTAAAAATGGAATTGAGAGCATTTGCAGTATTTAATGGTCAGGGTAAGAAATATGGTAAATAATGGTACAGGGTTCCTTTGCTTTGAAGTCGCATGCGCCTGGGCCAGAACTGTCTAGGTGGTCTCCCGTGTGAGGCCCCTGGTTGGATTATTTGAATTAATAAGCCCCTGTTTATTCATTTATAAAGTTATAGAGAATGATTTCATAGCACTATTGATAAAATTGCAAATAATATCAGTAATATGGCTACTTAGTAATGACTCTTATTGTGAATAAATAACATAAAATATGCAAAACTTGTGAGAAATTTTCAGTATATAATAAGTATTTTCCACCAAAAAAAAATCCATTTTTCCCTTTTCTCAGCAATTAGCATATAAAGCTAGGACAAAAGAAAACAGGCCATGCAATAAGGACTTGCTGCACCAAAACTACCTGCACATTTGCTTTGCCCACAAGAGGGATCTGCATTTGACTCAGAAACTAAGAGAGAAAAACAAAACAAAAAAAAAAAATTAAACTAAAACAGAGAAACTACACTAGCCTCCTTGGGTTAAGGGCTTCACCAGCAACTAACATAAAGGAATTGATCAGCAATAGAAAACTGTACAGTGCATTTGCAAGTGTATGTGCTATTGTCATATGAATGGCCCACTTGACTTAAGTTTAGAGGACAACGTAGAATCTGAATAGTGTGCTCTACTGGTGCTTTTTGTAATTTTGCCAATTCCCAGGGGTTGACTTGATTAAAAGTCTGTTTATTCAGACAGATGTGGTAGCCCTGTCTGTAATCCCACTACTCTGGAAGGCTGAAACAGGAGGATGCCATATTCAATCAAATTAATGACTTAGATTCTGTCTCAAAATAAAAAGCAAATAAGTTTTTTTTCTAAAAAACAAAAAAAGTTAAATAAGAAGAACTGGGAATTCACTTTGCATTTTTTATTACCTGGCAGTTTCTAATTTTCTGGTAATGTGAAAATCACAATAATCTTGAAGGCAGTTATCATGATCCCATTTAATAATTAAGAAAAGATGAAAATACAGAATTAAAATGCAGTATAAGTAGAATTTGAGCTCAAGTCGGTCTTATTTATATGTTTTGTTGATTTATAATATGCAATCATCTTTACCACAAATTGCATGTCCTGCATTGTAGCATAGAAATCCTCCTTGAACGAAGACAGTACGCAGAAGATGGTAGTCTGG